AACATATAAATAACATTATTAACTTATTTAATTTATATGCATTACTAAATTACCTGCAGCAATTATAATTATTGGATTGTCAGGCAACTATATAAATGTGATGTCAATATGGGATGATAATGTTAAGATTTTATCAATAATTATTATTAAAACATTATATTACAATGTACGTTCCATTGTTCTTCCATAATCTTCTTCACATTTCTATGTGAGTTATGCCTTGGTCTTTCCTTGTCTGTGATTGTTGCTTGCACATTACTCTAAAGTGGTTGGTACAGGAGTGTCTCAGTCTGCATATAAACTTGCGATTATATTTTATACTAATTGAACACCTCAAGTGTTACTACAATTTTTCACTCCAAAGTGTATATCTAAAACGACAAACCTTTCTGCGGGCCACTAAATCAAAAATCGATGAATTTTACTATGTATAAAAACACTAGTACACAAACAGATCATTGGTGAACATGTTACAAGTCTGTAAATTGTAAACAAATAAACAATTCATTCTTTCATTTTAGGGTCATTCCACGCCAAATCGCATACGCGCAAAATATCACAATATGTAATTAGATCGCTATCTTATTGAAGTAGATACCTTCTAATAATTAAATATGGTAAATTAAAGGTGCTGTCTGGTATCAAAATTTATTTTGCTAATGATCGTTTAGATCGCGTAGCGAACATCCTCAGAGCTAAAATTAGAATTACCGAAAACTTGCAGCTTTTCGGTCCGGAAGCTGCAAGGTATGTACGATCCAGTTTGCCTACGCATCGGGCATATAATGTCGGGGCACCGCTCCAGCCAGGACAAGCCCCTGACAGGTGTTCCGGTATGTATAGTAATGTAGTGCTTGAGGAGGGGTGAGGATAGGACAAGGGGGAGGTAGGAAAGATCGCGCGCGGTCTGTGGCCCGTTTGTTAAAGTACTGCTCCAGCATTATACTGTTGTTGAGCGAAGAAACCACGGAAAACTACCAATCAGAGCAGCCGACGGCTAGAATTTTCCAGACCGCGACTGAATTCGACCTAGCTGACAAGCTAGTGCTGCTGGTCCTTGTTTCTTAATGAGTAGTTTTCATTCATTATTGTTTCACCAATCGGCACTCTTCCAAAAACACAGAATATTGTAAGCCCGTGAAACATATGTCAAATCGTTATTAAACATCAAATATCTAATACTCCTATATTGATATTCCAAAAACTTTACTTATAATGTTAGTAATACACTTATTTTGTTGGATAGAATACGGGATGTAACAAATACATCTGATGTTATAATGCTAGTATTGGAATTATCAACGACATATGTGAATGAGGCTTAGCTCCCTCTCTCACGGAAATTGTAAAAAATGGATGTGTTACCTATTTTAAAAGATCGATATAATATCAGAATGGATTATAATACATTTATGAGTTTTACAGAATAAATAAAAGGCGAAAAGATGATATGGAGTATGGCAAAAAGTCGATTTTTTTGATTTTGTGGGTTAGCTACCCCTCTCACTGGACGCCTCAATTCATTGGTATGTACAATGTAAGAGATTGCAAGAACTTGATTGAAGCGATGCATGCCATTTAGAAATTCTCGTCACATGAAAAAACATTTAAAACGTTTACAGCGTTGGTGACGCTACATTCTACTACTCATAGTAGCACATAAGGAGACATACACTTTAACAAAACCGACCCTCACATGAAAACTGAGGCCGATTCAGAAATTATGAAATTAGATCTGTATTGAGAGGCACATTATCAACCAGAAACTGTTGTTTGTCCTTGATAAAGGGACAAGGTTTTTTGGAGACCAGTGAAATTAGTAATATTGATTATAATGGCTTCAGGGAGGTTTTACCTAAGCTTGTGAATAACATAGTGAAGTGTAAACACTGATATCTAAATTAAGAAAAAATTCAAATATGTTTCAACATTAAAAGATGAACATTTATAGATAATAGCTGGAAAAGATAATCTGGATGATCTACATGTGTTCATACTAGTTTTTTAATTTCCTTTAAATTATGGCAAATGTAACGATCCATCCGGATACGTCAACAGAAAACTTAGTACATCCATTTTTAATCCCGAAAACACATTTATTTAAATTGAGTCATATCGGAGAAAATGTGTTAAATAAATACGACGGACGCAAATTAGGAAAGAGCAGCATTCACAAATATTGGTTTAGATGTTGGATTTTGGCAACTAAATCGTAAAAGTAATATACACAGTAGAAAGGGCGAAGATGAAAGATATAGGATAATATTCAGTTGTAAAAGGATTGAAGGAATATAAATGAATAGCAATAAAATGTTTGGTTGAATTTTTGATGGAATAGCAATAAAATATTTTGGTTGTCAGTAGAAATGAATGACACGACATTATTACTAAAATGAACAATACAGAACAAAACAGTCTACAGAAGCTGACATACTAAAGTGATGGAAGTTGTTTTAGTCTTCGTTTTAGCTAACAGAAGAACAAAAAGAGAGAGAATGATTTTATACAGCATGGAGAATGGTTGTAGGAGGCAATGTTAATAGATTGCCCAATCTCGGGCCGCGACTTTCGTTTAAAGAGAAAATGTTGAGTTGAGTGTATTACTCTCGTGGCTCAAAGACGAAGTCGCTTGCCTTTCACCACTGAGGTTCCGGGTTCACTTCCCGTAGAATTCTCGTAGAAACGCAGTAAAACCTCATGTGAAATTTGTTAGGAGAAAACGAGTTTGCATGCTTCACAGGGGCTAGTCCAACTCCTGTGAAGCGTCCTAAACCGAACCCCTATACTTATTCCTTCCCAATTCTGGCCGTCGGTTAGTGACACAGGAGCGCGTAGAAGAGAAAGAGAGGAAGATTTCAGTATAGAATATTTTTTTCATACGTATTTTTGTGTTGTTATTGTGCAGTGTATTTGTTGCAATTTAAGTGAAGTCGCTATGAAATAGGGGACGAAAGTAACCACATTTGAAGTAATTATTCAATCTTTCCTGTTAGCTTTTTGTTTTCCTTAATAGTCATAAAAATATCAGAAAAGGTTTTTATTCTTGAGGAAGCAATGTAAAGTTTTCCATGCAAAAATACAGGACAGGGCAAGTACAACCCTTCTCTTTGCAATATTATTTAACTTTCCTGGATTTGTTATGAGAAACAGAGGGGATTTTGGAGGGGCAGGACGACAGCTTGCTGGGGTGCGAATATTGAAAAATTATTTATATACCAAAAAGTATTGGATAATCTTTTGCGTACTGACGCACCTCAAGAAAAGCAATTCCGAGCTAAATATAATAAAACTTATTTTTTTCACCTTTGAGTAATGAATACCATTTGTTACCATTAGAAACAGTTCAGTAGGATTATATTTCACTTCGTTACATGGAAATGTTTCTCTAACGATGTTTACGAATTGGCGAACCGACACCTTAAGTTTTATAACAAACTGTGTATTATTTGCAATATGAGTTTACAGCTGGGCATTTATGTACAGCCGTCCAGATACCGCCAATATTTAAATCGTGCGTCTTTGATTGTGATCGTTAGCAGATATTAAGTGACTTGCACTATTCTTTCTATAATTTTAAATTTGGTTGCCTTTTTAAATTCATACATGTAGTATTCTTGGCTAGCGCGATTTGATTTTTGTTATTCGTTTCTTTCAAGCTCTTTTACTTAAGTTAATTAAAAAAAAAGTTCTTTGTGTTGTGCCGTAGCACAAGTTTTTCGCTACTACCTCCGCGAGAAATCTCACATGTTAAACCCAACACTTCCCTATCTTTCTATTTTAAGAGGGAAAGTTGTTAACGAAACGTATTTAATTGTTTAAAACTGTATAAAGGTAACCTCCAATGCACTAACACAATATTAAAAATAAAAAACAATGCAATTGATGTTTAAAAAACATTTTCAATCAAAACGTTAAATGAATGTTTCCACTATACGCATAAGAAACAATCATGGGATCAAGTAACAATATTACTTTTAGTTTTTGCTGCGAGAGCGAATCTTAAATCAATAATTATGCAAATAAACCTCGTCAGTCTGCACAAACCTCGGGGTACACAGAAAGCGTAAATATTATAAGTTAGATGAATCTAAGTCTTCTAAGCGTGACGTCACAAACATGGCCACCATCATCAAAGGTTGAAATATAGGTGGCATTGATAGTGCCGAACCAGCAAAAATTTAATAGCATGTCTAAGAATATCTCATCCTACTATAGAGGAGAGATACAACTCCTATCTCTACTCTACTCTATGCATCCTACAGATTACGGTGTTAAAAACGTTTATTTTTGAGGCCTTTGTCTTCAAGGGTTTAGTTTTTAAGGCTCTAGAACGCTTCGTTTAGGAGTTATTTGACAATTTAGACGTTATTTGACTGAGTGACTCGGGTTGCATTTGACATGAATATTTGGATGCGTTTTTTAAACAAATGCGTCATATTTTTAAAGTCAAAGTGCAATTCGTCACGTCTCCGTAAAATTATCTTCCTTTAGAGACCTCATTTACAAATATCGGTTGCGTGTGAGAGCCGCAAAAGATATGTATACTACTGAAATAATATAGGAGACGACAATAATAATAATAATAATAATAATAATAATAATAATAATTATTATTATTATAATTATTATTAACATAAAATTGGGTAACAAAGTCTTTGGCAAACATTCAGTGAACAATTGGTCAAATCTAATATTTCATTATTGGTAAAAGTAATTAAATAGCCTTTGTACTGTTGAATAGTCACTAGCACTTGAGCTCATTTTACCACATTTCATTGATTTATTACAAAATCCAGATTTTACAGAACTTTGAAAACTAAAAAGAAAAACAAAACAGAATTTGACTTCATTTATCCAGTACGCACATACAATTACGCAGTGCACTTTTTACACGCCATCTGCTGGTATGATTAAGTACTCCCAGGCCAGGCCGAAGCCGTGACGTAACAGGCTTTGTTTTGCTCTCACACTAGCGCCGCGCATCCTGTCTACGGTTTCCTCACCAGAATGCAATCCAGACTCTCAGTCTCAAGCGGTGTGGACAAGCACAACAGAGAATACACCGCTCACCATTTACCTTTGTGCTGGAAACACAACCAGGTGAGGCCCGCGATAAACTGTTTTCTTAAGAGTTCTGTGCAAATGCGGAAGATATTTTTCTAGTAGATATACCTTAAAACATCTTACGGTTTGTAATAATAATAATAATAATAATAATAATAATAATAATAATAATAATAATAATAATAATAATAACGTACTTATTATATGTTTAAAGATAGGATATAATTTTAATTGAAATAGTAATATTTCTAGAGCGAAAGATGTATATTATAATTATCAAAATTATTTATTTAGTTGAATTCAGTTTATTTCAAACGTTATATCTTTAACTTTTAAGGACACATTGCGTGTTGGTGAAATTGAGGTGCGTTAGAATCTCTTACTACAATAAAATCCATTGAATATTTACTAAAAGCAACGGAAATTCTACTTTTTCTTATTGTGTTTAAGAGCAGAGTCAAGAAAAAAAAATCAAGCCAAACGATTATAGTCATTTCTTTCATTTTATTGGTATATTAAAGATTCCATGAGCCAGAAAAAGGAATTCATGATAAAATTTGTGAAAAGAAAACGTCATTTTTTTGTAGTTTAAGAATTTTTTAGCTGACTTATGAACGTCACCGTAACACGTAACATGTCTTATTCAGCTTAAGATGTACAAACGATTTTAACATTAAATTCTCTTTCTTTTACACGACTTCACAGGATCTTATCCGGGTAGTTAAAGAGGAAAGATTCTATTATCATTTGCTGCTTCTTTTAAATTGTTTTTTAAAACCCGAAATACATTATTTCTATTGTTATTACGATTATTTTATTATTATCATTATTGAATATTGCAAAGCAACACAAAAACCTTTGGACTAACGGACAAAGTAGAAAAGTTACATGGACTTACCCACATTACCCAGTCACCACCGAAATAATAACAAAAAAAATATATTTTTTTTTGAATATAAACTACCATTTTTTCTTGATTACGAGTAATAGGACAAACTTGTATCTACGACTGAGCCCCTGATTAAAAATTTATATCGTAGTGCTTGAAAATTATTAAATTAAAATTCATGAATGTGACATATTGCAATTCACTTGAAGTTTTTGTTGATTTGAAAATTTCCTTTCTTTTTGCTCTTTTATAGGGAAACACAAGAATCGCTTCCTGTTTACCGAAGTTTATTTATTTCGCAGAACGGAGGTGATATAACTTGTCACGAAACTCCTTTTGATTCATGGCAAGACAATATTTTACTTCAAGAATGAGGCAAGCAGATTAATATCTTCAAAATGGACAACATATTCTCGTAAGTGTAGACTTAAGTGGTCACGAGTTTCAATAACGTTCTTGGCCTATATTTATTTATTTAATCAATCTATTAGCTGAAGATCCCCGCATTACGCGAGTGTTTATTAATAGCAATAATCTTTTAGACAAGAAAAGGAATGAATTCTAAGTGCGTGTAATGTATCTTCCACCCTTCTGTCTCGGCCGGAACTCGAACTCCCCAGATCCAACATTTTTCTCTTTACCCTGTCCTGCCGTGTCGGACCCACCAAAATATTCATAATAATTATTCCTTAAGATTGGAATAAAGTGTGAAGAGTTCAGTAAATAAAAGTTGGGCATCAACTTTAACAATACTTTATTCCATCTCTATTTACAATAGTTTGCTGCAATATTTCTAAACGGCGAGTCACCTCTTCCCTGTTCTCCCCCGTGCTCGAGCTGAGCACTATACAATCGAGGCCACCCTGGGCCTGGCGCAGCCTGTCTTGCTGCGGTGTTGGGGATACGCGAGGCGGTGCGTCTCCCACGTCACCTTGGACCACACGTGGCCGGCTGTGTCGACCTCGCGGCCCCAGCTTCCTCCCCTGCAAGGTTTCCCCTCTCGTGCAACGCGTGCTGGCTGGAGGACTGACTGCCTGACGGATCGACTGCACTGAGCCTCTGACTGGACCGGCGCTCGCAGCCCCTTAAGTAAGGGAGCTGGGTAGCTTCGCCTCGAGGGCCCGGTGTGGCTCGGGGCTCCGCGTCAGCGAGCTCGTCGGCGCGTGGCATATTACACGCGCGCCAGGCAGAACACAGACGTAGATTTGAATAAAAGTACAAACATTTGTCTTACTATAATATAATATTTTTTAAAAAAGTGGCGTGCGAGTTTAAATGTAAGTGTAAAGGGAGAGGATAGGACTAGAACACGGATGAGGAAGGAACCACCACGCACAGTCCGTTATCCGCATGATAATGAACGGAGAAACCTCGGAAAACTAAGGATCAGAGCAGTTGGCAGCCAGAATTATCCTCGAAAATGATTTCTTCGAAAAGACATTAACCGGAGATGAACTGAATGGAAAATGTCAGTGAACTCGTTCGTAGGGAATTTTGGGAGTAAGAAATTACCGCAAAAATTACCTTCTAGAAATAATATTTCAAGTCTGATTCAACAACATTCGGAAACACGATGCAACACGAACAACTATCGCTCGCCGAAAAAACAGGAAGAGTCCAGTAGCTGCCGCTTCTCAAGGGTTCTAAGTTGCAGAAAGTATTATACTTGGAAATTTATAAATCGACTCGTTTAATTTGGGCATACTACCGGCACAATTATTGAGGAAGTTTTTAGTTTTATGTGATCACTTAAGCGAAAAAAAAGCTTTTCGAATGTGTCGTGTCGTGGACTGTCGTTGGTCAGTCCGTAGCTGGTACTTGCGAGGCAATAGATGTTTCAGGAAGAGTGAGAGTACTGGAAGTTGAGTGAGGTCAGCATGTTGCTCTTTGTTCGGCAGACTCTGCACCTATTAACTAAGCTAAGAATACTGACCCTGATGTTCTAAATTACTGATTTGCTTGATAAAAATATATTGTAAAAATTCCCTTATTTAACGTAAGACGATTTAACGTAATTGTAGCTTCCGTTATCAACGTCAAAGTTGTCTTAGAAAAGAATTAAAATACCGATGCGTGCCGATCGGTCGTGCACTATTCGCTATAGTTTTCCTATTTGAAGAAGAGGTAAAATGTACGTGACAGTTCCGACATACAGATACATGCCGGCCCCTCTTAATTCATAACCCACAGGCCGCCACTCGAAGAGTCGCCAGGCGAAGCGCTGACTCAGCCCCTGTGATCAGAGGCGACACTTCCGCCGCTCTTATCATCAAGGACCGGATTTACATGCACTTCAGTATCGGCAGCGTATGAGCGACTCTGGCAGTTCAGTGCGCTGTTTGTTGCCACTGCACATGGCACCACCAGCATCACATATAAATTAAATCTCAAAACATTTACACCTACTGACAGACTACGACAAGTCTTGATACCATGTTCATAACTTTCGCGAAGGCCCAACCCCGTCGCCTCCGCGACTTCGTGCGAGCAACGCTGAACCCTGGCTGCAAGAAAGTAAATAAATCCTCGCAAGCTAATTGCTTCAGAGCTGCTCACATGACGTATCACGACACGTGGCGAGAGAACTGCCAGAGTCGCTTACACGCTGCCGGTATTGTAGTGTTCTTCTATTAGTTATTTATTCGCCAAGGGCACTGTAAGGGCTCTAACGATTGAAAGGCGACAAAAAGCCAAAGGGCCTATGGTAGTTGGGCTTTTTCTCGCAAAATATTATTAGAACCATTTAGCTTTACATGCTTGAAACTTATTTTAAAGGTAAAGTATAACTACGTCATTTTTACATTCTTGTTATACTTACGTATATACAGAGTAATATACGTAGTATAGAAGAAGCTGTGTAATGCTGTGGCAAAAAAAGGCGATTTTTCGGCAGAAAAACTCGTATTGTCCGGTTGTGTTTATACACAAAAGTTGGAAAAATAGTCTTGTAACATATAGTAAATTATTCCCTCGAACACGTAGTCAAATTATAGAAATAGTGGATCCTTGATACCGAAAAAGATGTTTTTCAAGACGCCCGTTCGTCCGCCAGACTGTCTGTGAACAACACTAGCACCTGAACTATTTATAGGATTTTTTTCAACATTGATATTCCCCAGTCGATCTGGCACGACTCGAAGCTCTGCGATTTTGAAAAATTTACTTTCATTTTCTGGCGTACTTTAAGTGAAGCTCGTGCGACATTAAACACATTTTCTCAAGAATGGCTCCAAATTTTCCTTTAAATTTCTCGTAATAATATAGTGCACTTAAATGATGGCATAAGTCCGTTTTTTACCATTAACTTTCAATTTTTGAAATTAGCTTAAGTTTGAAATTTATTTGACGTCTTCATACCACTACATAACTAAAGATAAAGATTTTTCTTTCAAATGAAATTTTTTCTCCAGAATTAGTTCTTTCATTAAAGTCCTGCCCATATCCGACTCAGACAGTAGATTTCGATTTATTTAGTCAAAAAACAGTATATGGTATATGGGGTAGAAGATCTGCGCACGTTTTCTCGAGTCATAGAATACTTTCCCATGATTTTAACTATAAATAGTTAAAAGATGAGAAAAGTTAACGATAAATAAATAAAAATAAAATTAAAAAAAGCTAGACATTTTCATTCCCGAGTTATAGAAAACTTATTTTCAACGGTAAACGAACTGCAGATTGATTTTTCTGCATTGCTAACAAAATAGTAAATCGCTACCACGACAAGCAAAACGAGACTTCAACAAAATGCGCACTGTGAATCTACATTTACGTCCAGAAGAAAAACAAGAGACCATTTCAGCATTTGCTCAATGCATCAGGGAAACTGGACAAAAACCTGATCGAGATGGGGGTCATTGACCCAGCAATTGAATTACATAATTTATTTACAACCAGGTCTTTTTAAAAAAAACGTATACATTACAAATGTATATAATACTTCATTATATACAACTGTTTTGTTAAAGTAAATATTATTTTTCTCTTTAATGATCAGTATAGTCTCTAATTGTAAAGAAACGGTCATCCAGCAGAAAATATTTTACTTTTAACTTAAATTTGTGAACCGATTTCAATTTTTAATGTCATCCGGCAATACGTAGTAAAGTAACGTACATGTATTGTATGTAGATATCTTGTAGTAAGCTGTTGATACTGACACTTGAAGGTGATTTTTATGACGTGTGTTGTAATTATAAATATCAGTATTGCATGAAAATATATTCCTCCTTAAGAAGGTCTATTCTGATAAATATTGAAGATTCGTAAATAAATAGGCAAGGCAATGCTAAGATTCCAAGCTCATTGAAGAGAAGCTTGCAGGGATGACGCGGATGGCATTTTTTCATTATTTGAATATTTTTCTTTTGCAATCTAAAGGTCTGGGTTCTACATGATGAACTTCCACAGAATAGTATACCCTATGTCAGGCGGGAATGCACATTTGCAAAAAGACGCAACGGGCTCAATGAAGGCTGGCAGAATTTGAAAGAATATTGAATGCGTAACATAATGAACTTAGGTGAGAGCTTAGGCTTCCGCGGCCGGAGTGTGCCGACGTTTCGGTCGCCATTCTGCGACCTTTCTCAGGCGTAATGACGCCCTGACTTCGCCATGGACCTTCGCCATGGACGCGGCGTCACCCGGACAGCCTAGTAAATAATAATGAACGTAGTTTAGTGTTTATTTCTAATATATTCCATTTGAGGTTTGACTAAATTGATAGACCTAGAAATTTTATTACCTGGCACATCAGCTAATTACATATTGTTCATTTTCAATCGAACATGCGATTACTGATTGAAATGCAAAAATGCATCTAAACTGTTTTTCTCTTCCGTTAACTATTAATTATTGTTATTACAAAAACCAATTGAAACTTCTTAAAATCGTACTAATTTCCTGTTTCTTTTTTTGCAAAGAACATTCGTGTCATCGGCAAACAGAACCGTTTTTCCGTTCTTAATAGTCGAGGGCATACCGATTACGTTTAACCAGGAAGAGATGAATCTAAGATCGAACCTTGCGGGAACCGATATTCAGTTGGTACAGAATTGGAAAGATAAGTAAATGATGTCCCTTCATGCTAGTACGTATTTCTACTCTTGAGATCGATGTTTAAGGCGAGGTTATCCAATCTAGCGCGATACACGAATTCCGTATAAGAGGTAAATTTTGATAGTAATACTATGGTTAATAAACGTCAGAAGCTTTCGAAAGATCTACAATATTCCAAATGGTACTTCATTTTGTCCATTGATGAGAAGCAACATCTTTAAGAAAAGAAAAATGGCAGTTTCCGTAGATTTTGATTTCTTAAACCCGAGTTGTGAGTCTGGAAACACTGTTTTCATGAGAAAAGTTTCCATTCGCATATAGAAAATCCCTCTCTAATATTATTGAGAAAACTGACAAAAGAGGAAATTGGCCGGTAATTTTGAATTCATTTTGTTCGCGTGTTATAAAAAGTGGCTTAAATTTGCTATTGAATATATGTGGAAAATTCCTGTGGCATTAAAGGAGCATTAAAAAAATGTAAGTTAACGGGTGTACAAAAGGAATATACACAAGGTTTCAATAAACAATCCGGAAATTAATCTAAACCAGATGAATATTTATTTTTTAGTTTATTGACTATTCTCAGGATTTTGTTAGAAGTAGTTTCGGAAATAAATATCGCGTCGAACATTTTTTGCGAAGGAAATGAAGTTGAATTTTGTGGTTTTAGTTCCACCGCGAGTTCACCCGCAATTCTAGAAAAGTGTTGGTTGAAGATATTTGCCATTTTTTCCAGATTACTTGCTTCTCTTCCATTATCCTTTAAAACTACATTCTCAGTATGTACAGAGAAAATTTGGTCATAATTTGTACAATATTCCACATTGCTTTAGGTTTTTTACTAGCGTTCTGATTATTTTTCATAATTTACGCATGAACTATTACTTTCCTTAAAATATTATTGTATTCTCGGAAGTAGACATGGAAACCGGGTAATACGTTGTGATGTTTAGAAATTAAGTAAAGCGTATGTTTGATTTTCCCACGATCCTCTAAATCCTTGTGTGATCCAAGTATTATTTTTCCGTGAAATATTTAATTTTCTCTTTTTGAGAGGAAAGCATGAGTTAAAGTGAAATGAAAGCTTTTAGAAAAATAGATTATATTTTTTATTTGTGTCAACAGCATTATAAACTGCCTTCAGCCTACAATCCTTATTGCTTACCAACACTTGCTCTATATTCAGAGCTTCAGCAACTATAATTACCAAAAAAGAATGAAAACCTTACATAATTGTAATGTTAGCATCAACTTTACATGATAGTTTTTTTTCTTTCATTGGATTCAATTTTCTTTCTCTCTTTTTGTTCCTTTATTGTGAATGTCATTTTTTCCTATTTGTAATCAAATACTATGAACTGGCAAACCCGTTGTACTTGTTGCATAATCTTTTTTAATGTTGTTATTTGTTCAACTTTGTGAAAAGGTTATAAATAAACATTGCCATTAACTTTCCAGTGTGGAAAAGGACCCTGCAAGAGCCCGCCTGAGCGGTGGCTTCTTCGAGCTACGGTTGGCAGGCCTGCTGAGCGTCCGACTGCGCGCGGAACGTCGCCGTCGACCCGAACTCAACCTGCAGTTTCTGGTCGCCACCAACATGGACGGCGCCAACCCGTTTGACGATGTCGTCCTTCGAATCGCGTGGGACGAGTCAGGGCGACAGCGGGTCGTGACGTACTTCTTCCAGCTGAAACACGCCGAGAAGGTGGACAAACCAGTGCCAGCCCACGATCTCACCGCCGCAAACATTACAAAGAAAAACAAAGACTTCAACCTACGAAAATATTTCAAGTTCCACCAGCGACTGAAGGAGTTGAAGGAATCATCTGGCGACGATTTGAAGGGAAACGAGAAGCTTTTGCGGGATTGGGGACAAGGGGAGTGTCGTTTCGTACTTTTTACTACCCGGGAGGTTCTCCCGAAATCAAGAGAGAAAAGAGCTGTCTCTTTACAAGACTTTCCCTTTGATGATATCTTCAGCACTGACCAAGGCCAGGCTTTCTCTTTTGGGGAAACTGACAAGGAAGTATGGGGCATGTTTGCTGGAGACGGCGATGAAACAGTGTTTCGAAGCGAGTTTTTGCCCCGTCTGCGCGTGTTTAGTGCGCAAGCGCAGGCCTCTGCGTTGGAGCCAATGCTGCTGCGGGCACTTGAAGATGCTCTGAACGGACTTCCACCTCTACCCGATCAGTTACTCTCCAAATATACGACGTTTCTGCAGCAATGGTGGGACAGTAATGACGGCTCATGTCTCTCAGAACTGACGACTGAAATCGAAGATATAATTCGCGATGATATCCACGCCAAATTACACCAGTTGAGTTTCCGAGAAGAGTTTTCTAACAGTTTGTCCCTACGCGTTCGTGATTGTTGTGCGGCCTTTATCGTCATTCCTGGAATTTCGCAAGAAAGGCGTGGCTCTTTGATTAGATCAGTGCTCACAAAGACACATACTGACAGGTTTATTATAATGACAGACGCGATTGTCAAAGACTATCCCCATGAAGCTCTATTTGCTATTTGCAGCAAACTGTGTGATGAAGTAGTTTTGTGTACGGACACACGAAACAACAGTTTGTTAGCATTTGTGGATAGAATTACTTCAAGTGGAAGCAAAAATTTGCGAGTTATGTCGCTGGAATGGGACAAGGAGATGTTTTTGGTGATGAAATCGCAATTTCATTCAGTAAGTGCTTGGACAGAACGTTGGACATTGGATCGTTTGGACCCTAATGATCAGCAAACGTTTTTAGAGAAACATGTCTGTTTTCAAGGCCATATAATAACTCTTGCAGAGCTGGAAAACGTGTGGCCTAATCTCCGCCATGGCATCGGCGATGCAGCATTAGAAGCCTTGGCCAATGGGAAAACGTTCACCATAGGTTTACCTCTGAAAACCGTAGAAGATAGTTACTACGTCCCCCGTACCGTGCATCACGCAGTTACTTTGAACCGAAGTATTTTAAAACTACGCAGCGCAAAAGACCACTTCTTTCTCAGTGGGTTTCCTGAACAAATTTTGAAGGAACTCCGGCAACCAGATTCAGATTGGGAGGAATGCTCCCTAAATGGAGTGCCTGTAACGAGGGAGAAGGTTCAAGCCTTTGATCCACGTGCATCCGAAAAGGAACCCAAAACGCACTGGACTGAATTGTGTTCAGATGCACCTGGTGACAGCGGGGAACAACGTCTTGCTGCAAATGTGAAGAAAAACAGAAAATATGAGTCAGAGTATTTCTCCGGAAAGCGGATAAATAGAAAGATAAAATTGGCAGTAAAGAAGTCAAAACCGCAAGAAGAAGTGGATTCGCAGTTGAACAGTGAAAACAGAAATCGACATTGGATCTTATTCGAAAATAATGAATTTATATGGAAGAAGAGCGAAGGCGAAACAGACAATCTAACAAACTACATTAAAAGCAAAAGCAGCACATGTCAACGCAAGCCTGTTTGCAACCATAGAGATAATCGTGATTTTCTCTCATGGGCAGATTCTACCTTCATTCTCACCGACAGTGCGGGAATGGGAAAATCTACATTTTTAACACACATATCCAACGTGATAAAAGACACAAATGAATCAGAGTGGGTGATAGTTGTGAGAATCAACGATGGGCAAATAATTGATGAACTTCCTGAAGAGATAAAAGGATCTCATGTGCATAGCGTTTTAAAAAAATACGCCGGGATTGGGCAAAGCATTTCTGACAGGTCGGCGAGTATTTTCCTTAGGGATTGTATCGATCAAACGGGCCACTTAACGGTACTCGTAGACGGTGTGGACGAAGTGTGTCCTTCGCACAAAGTAAAAGTTCTTAAGTTTCTTGTATTACTGCAAGAAATTCTTGAGAAGAACGGAGGTCACTTGTGGATAGCTTCCAGAACGGTGTTAAAACATGATCTATCCAAAATTACACCAAATTCTACGTGTATTTCCTTGTCTTATTTTTCGTTACTGGAACAGGTAGGGTACCTACGTAACCGCTGGAGCGATGGAATATATGATGGGACGGAATCACATATCGACTATCATGTATCTTATCTCGTGGACGTAGTTCGAAAAGCAACGAGCACAGGAGATCGCAGTCTATGTGATGTACCATTGTACACAAGAATGTTGGCTGATGCTTATACAAAAGACGACTTAGATCAACTCCTCGAACAAACAGACGAAGAGAAGAATTCACGCTTGAACAAAGCAGCCCTATACAAAAGGTTTATTGAAAAAACTCTAGGGGTGGTTTGGGCCAAAGTCGGAATATCTGAAAGCGCTCAGGTCAATTTGAATATTACGTCAGAGGACGTTCTGAAGAAACATGGAGTTTTTGCGGCGTTTGAATGTTTCCGTGGAAGTGAGTTCCTAGGAGAACATTTTGACGACGTGTTGCAAGTCATGAACGAGTTAAAAGACGGCCAAGAGAGAGAAAAAATCGCCCGAGCTGGTATCATCACTCACATTGTCGACGGAAGACCAAAATTTTTGCACTACACTCTCGCTGAATACCTGGCAGCGATGTGGCTACTGGACAAGCACTCGTCCCTCCCAAAACTCACTCGGTCGTTGTACGAGGGTGTCTTCGGCGAGGTTCGATATTTTTTCGATGCTCTCCTGGCAGAAGATAGCCCACTTCACACAGCAGCAATAAATGGCCATGAAGAAGCTCTATTGTCGGCCCTACGCCTCAAGGGCCAAGGTCATTGCGTCGAACTGGAAGATAAAGGCGGGAGACGTGCGCTTCACCTGGCTGTTATCGGCGGAAACGTAGACACGACTAAAATTTTGTTAGAAAAGGGAGCCAAAGTATCTGTGAGGGACCGAATTCTCGGCTGGACACCCCTTCGCTATTTCGACACGATAACAAATAGGATCCTCGCAGAAGTCGAGGAGATCATGGTCCATTCAATTCCACTTCTGGAAATTGTAGAAATTTTGTTGAAAGCGTCCGCAAAAATAGAAGACGCCCCGATTTTACTCGATAAAAAAGACATCTTTTTGCAAATAGCAATTAGAGATGACTATCCGTGTCTGACCAAATCATTGATAAAAAAATCTGTATGGCTGATTTTTCAAAAGTGGCAAAAGAAGCCGTATTTGCACGTCGCCGCCCAGCATGGAAGTTGGGAGGTTCTCCACATGTTGCAACGTTTGGGCTTCCAAGTGAACGCCACCAGCTTGGAACATTCTGGTGGTACTCCTCTCCACCTGGCTGCTGCCAAAGGTCATTTAGAAATCTGTAAATTTCTGCTGAGTTGTGGAGCGAAAGTAGGCGCCCGGGATGCTGTAGGTTACACGCCATTACACGAAGCGGTGATAAGAAATCATCAGTCAGTCTGCGAGGTGAGTTGGCGCAAGAAGGGGACACTACAGAATAAAGCGGAGTAACCGCAGAGTCGTTATTGGGGCATGTTGTTTTGGAAACTTATAGTGCTAATCCATTGATTTGGTCCTGAACTATACTCTTAAAGTATAATTCAATGCGACATCAGCGGGATACACCGAGCATTTGTATCTAGAAAATGTTGCAAAACCGTTTGTCCCAAGACTACCTACAAGGAATACTGGCTGCGATGGCAACTAGAAATTTGACAGAGGAAGATGTAATGGACAGAGAAGGCTGGAAAAGAAGAACCGAGAAACATCGCCAGATGTAAACCACTCGGAGATATATACATACATACATTGGTTCTCAATATGACGCAAGAGCTTGAATTTTGCGCAGTATTGCGTGCAATATTTGCAATTTACAAAAATACAAAAGACCGATTTTCTCAAAAACGGCTCCAAATTTTTTCTTTAAACTTTGGGTAGGGATAGTACTAAATGCATTAATTACATAAGATGCCATAATCGCTATATCGTTCAATTTTGTTTTTTTTTAAATTACAAAAATTAAATTTGTTTACTTGTATCTCACGTCGTTAATATTTACATTAGCGGCGATTTACTCACATTATTATATTTATGACAACATGAGATTTAAATAATCTCATATAACGTTTCTCGAAAACTCAAAACCGCTATCTGCCAAAACTAGCTCAAAATTCCGCATTTTCAGAACCGCTCAAACGCCATATTTTCAAAAACGGCTCCAATTTTTTCCCCTTCAAACTTAGGATTATTATAACTGCACTCTTTAATGACGTAAAGTTCACGTTGGTGTATTTTTTCTTTTTTGAAAAATTACACTAATGCAATTTTTTTGAACGATCTCTCTCGCCATTAATATGCACATTTAGCGGCGGCAATGGTGTAACAATTAGCGTTCGGACTGTTATACCCACGTTGGCGGCTTCAAAACTGATCAGAGCAGTGGATTTTTAAGGACGAAACAGACCTTCGTACGGCCCTCCTTCACAGGGGACGTAAAGCCGGCTGTTCCATGTTAGTAGAATTATTTGCATGTAAAAGATCCTCAACTCCAAATGACGTCCCTGAGCTAAATTCAAATCGTCGTAACCTAAAGTACTTAAAATGACTTCAAATGGAGTTTTTCGAAACTCAAAACTTTTCTGTGAAAAAGAGCTTCAAATTTTGAATTTAGAGTAGCTCTTAAACGCCAATTCGTGAAAAATTGCTGCAAATATTTCAAATCAAATTGCCATTTAGTACAAGGTTTTACTGTTTTATAATTTCTTAAAATAATATTTCCGTTCTACTATTAAAAAAACAGAAAAATTAGGAAAATTTCAAAAAACTGTACTTTAAGCGGCGATAGATGGAAGCAGGCAAGAGCGTGTGGCAAGTTGGAATCGCTAATCCAGACCAAAAGAAATAGAAAGCTAATGCGAGAACGTTTGTGCCATTCTGTAGCACAAATAGTTTATTCCTGAGTTATAATTTCTCTCTGAAAAAATATATTTCTTTCTTTTGTAAACAATAAACAATTTACATGTTTCTGGAGTTATTACGTTTTTCTGAAATGCAATATTTTGCATAGAAAGTATATTTTCAAACCTACTTTTGAGTGCTCATTGTTGCTGAACAATTCGAAATATCGAAGGAATTTGGCAGACAAAATATGCTTAAAATTGCCTTAGTTTATTTTAGAATTTTCCTTGTTTCTTTCCTAGACATCCTTTGTACGTATGTACATGTATATATTGCACAGATTAATGGTATTTTTCTTTGCAAGGTGCTGTTGGCCAATGGGGCAGATCCCAACGCCACGACCGTAAGTGGAGTAACCCCACTTCACTTCGCGGCTCGGCAAGGTTTCGCTCCTTTGTGCAAGTATCTGGTTGAGCACGGGAGCGATGTAAATACCAGGGACAAATATGGATGTACCGCAAAGGATGACGCAGCCGGATGGGGCAGAGAGACGGTTGTCCTTGAACTGACAAGCAGAACATGAGACAGTGGACTTTATGAGATGATACCAGAAAATATTCGGCGTCATTTTTCAGTCATGATACAGGAACGGAAGAAAAAAAGTAAATTGTAAAATGCTGCTCATTAATAAAAATTTTGTTTGTATATTACCATTGTTACACCTTCCAAAATATTTGAAGATATTTGTTTACTTTAAGGCACATATTCAACTTTGGTTGTTTACTTAGGCACCCAAATTTATTCCCATTTGGCGCCTAATCTTGGCCCCTCCCCTTTGGGATGAATTAACAGCAAAGGGCGTACATTTCAATCGCCCCTTTCCTGCGATATATTTTAAGCGTATCTTAAAACAAGTGGAAGTAAATTAAAAAAAAAAGAATTAATAAAAATTATGAAACTTAATTCACGTATTAGCATATGTAACTAAAAATCTGATCTAGTATGAGCAGATATTTTTATAAGAACAAAGCAACGAATCATATCTAATCGAGTCTGAAATGTACAATCAGCTACATATTCTTGTTTCAGACATTCAATCAACAACACTCTTATTCTGATGTTTTATGACTCGTAGTAGTACATGTTTTCGTTGTTAAACGTTTTTAACATTCAGATACAGAATTTTCACAACCACCTGAAAGGCCATCCACACTCACGCTTTGTTATATTTGAAGAAATACAACTGCAATTATCATAGGGAACAATTTTGTGCTTTGTGATACACAATAGATAGTTTAAAAAATAACGTTTAAAAACTCAACGAAAACTCTCCAACAACCCCCCCTCCCCAAATGAATTTGTCCCGTAAACCAACCGCTACAGACAAAAACCCCTAAATGTAGGAGTAAAACCCCTAACCTGGCAACATGTAACCGAGACTTTCTCCTTTCGTTCAAGTGAACTCAGCTTGCAAACTTTTGATTTGGGCTGTTCTTTACCAGATAATCGCCGTCTTTGAGTAATCGCTAAAGTCTAGATCACACCTAGCGACATAGTCCTGGAACACGTACATCACAAATTCCAGGCATGCCCCGCGATATTTTTTCCGTGTTTAGAACTGTCGCGATATAAAAGTTGCATGTCGCAGATTTCCCCATTCGAAATGGGATACGTGATACAAATGTTGCGCAACTTAATGTAGTCTGGACGGGACAAAAGATAAAGTCTCCTAATACGCCGATTCCAATCTGCAAATAGCAGCACGTGGTGTTTTGTATTCAGTTGTTTGGCGATGGAAACGTTCTCTAAACATTATGGGGATTTATACACCCTTCCGTGTCTTTGGAATGTTAAGCCTATCCGGTACAAAAACAGACAAAAAGAGGAAGCAATGGAGTCTCTGGCTAAAAAATATACTATGACCATTCAGGAGATGAAGAATCCTCAACATTAAATCACAATTTAGCTGAAGCATAGAAAGCTTATGGAATAAAAAAGGGCTCTTCCCACAAAATGTCAAATTGGTTTGGTAACCAGTAACTCTTAATGTTTTTACTGCAAATGATGGAATCAAGAGGAAGTGAACTGGCAATCTAGTCTGGCGGGACATTGTATCGCAACAGTCTAGGGACTGTGTCTCGCAACTGTTCTCATACAAAGTCCCGCGATTTTGTTGCTAGGTGCAGGGCCGGATTTACCTACAAGCTAAACAAGCAGTTGCTTGGGGGCCCCCATTCACCAGGGGCCCCGCGTTTCGGAAAAATACGCATTAAATACATAAATAATGTATTTAATGTAAAAAATTGTAACACAAGTAAAAATTTCTATAAAAAATTATCAGTTTTCATTTGTATCTGTACAGAAAGTACTTGTTCTATAATACATTTTTATTTAATAATGATGGAGCTATTTTCTCGGGGGGGGGGGCAACACAATTTTGTGCTTGCGGCCCCGCACTACTTAAATCCGGCCCTGGCTAGGTGTGTACTATACTTTAAGTACATACTTACAACTGCTGACATTGCAATTTGTGAGCGAAGACATCGAATATGCTACCCATGAATTCTGTGAAGACAATTTGTTGCATCTCCTAAACATTATTTAAAGCTAGTGCCATTAAAAAATAAGGCGAAAAAGTAAAAAAAATACTTATTACCCATTTTATGTCTTTTCTGCATTTTTCTTCGATTTCGGCTAATAGGTAAATTTTAATAACGATGCTTTTGTTAGCAACGTAAAAAATTAAACGGCAGTTCGTTAACCGTTGCAAATAAGTTTTCTATAACTCGGGAACGAAGATGTCTAGTCTTTCAAATGTTGCTAATATCGCCTTTTTTAAATTTTATTCATTCATCCATTAATTTATTTGTTTTTAACTTTTACTTATCTTTCAACTATTTATAGTTAAAATGATGGGAAAGGATACTGGAACTCAAGAAAACGTTCGCAGATGATTTTCTCTCCCATACGTCACATATAGTTTTTACTGCTTTTGACTAAATAAATCTAAATTATGAACAATGTAAGGGAAGGGGTATCAACAAAAAATCAAATCTCCGGAACCGTTGGAGATGTCACGGTGAAACAAAAACTAAATTGGTTCCGTAGGTAGTGTCTGTAATGTGTTTAAACTTCATCTTGATAGATTAAATGTTTTTTTTAAATTAATCGGTGCGCACACATGGATTGTCAGGCAGACAAACCGACAACTGATTTGAAGAGAGATTCGTTTTGGTAATCGGATAAGTAAATTGAAAACGTATTTAAAATCTAAAAATTCGAAAACCACTGACAAACACTTCAGATTTATTTATACGTATTGATTAAATAAATATAACATACATAAACAGGTAAACATACATATCAATACCACCAACATGATGTTGGATAATGGGAATATAGTTAGCAGCGCACCTTGCCGCCAGAAATGGGAACAAATTCGATGTACCATGACTGACTGATCGATAAGCTGGCGATATAAGTCGCCCGGTAAACCGGCGGATCATTGGTGGAACGACATAGGTCAGCTATCGTATCCGGCTTTAGGCACCAGTTTGCATCACAATTGTGATTTAGTATAAATATTAACAATAAATAAGTTAAAACATTCAGTATTCGAAAAAAATAAATATTCTTTGCCAATGTCTCAGCTGTCACTTGTATATTATCTTGTTTACTTGACGTTGCCATGGAAATCGTCCTCTAAAATTCATTCTTGGCCTAGGCAAAACTGACCTTTGTGGCGTATAAATACTTTGCCAAATACGGGTTTAGAAGTGAGTATCCCAAAACATGTTTTATTGTTTCTTGCTCATGGCCTTTCATTGTTGCTCATATCAATTCACTAGCAATGAAGTGGCAATAATA